AGGTTTAGAATAAAAAGTCACTTCATGAGTCGTATTTCGTACCTAGTGCTTAGTCTTTCTATACCAAAACGCAGTAGAAAGGGTTCTTTCTAAAACGCTCATTTTTGAAGTTCTGTTAGGTTTAATTGACAGCTACAGACTTACCAAGAGAGATCAGCAGCTGCGCTTCAACAGGTTTCCGCTGACAAGCAGCCGTCCTAGCAAGCTCAAGCCCTAGTTCCAGTTCCCTGACTGCCGCCTGCCAGTCGGTTCGAATGAAGTTTGAGTCTCGTTTAGACAGTGTGGTCTGTTTGGTTAGCGCTCAACCGAGGCGAAGTTTGAGGTCAATTGAAAGTCGTTGAAAATAAATGTTATGAAATGGGCTGACAGGGGACATTTCTAGGAGATTTACATCGCTTCCCAGCTGAGTCAGCTAACGAGAGGGAAAAAAACGAACACATAAAAAGTGTATAAAAGTTGATAAGAATATACTCGTTACACAAGTCTCAGTTGTAAAAGGTTTTGGGTGAGACAAAACGCAACTTAAAATCAAAGGGAACTATAAAATGACCGTTTCCTAATATAGACAAAAAGAAAATAACAATAAAAAACAAAAACAAAATTACGACAAAAAACCAAGATACGTCATCGGTGTTATAGCTACAAATTATCTGTCTTGGAAATTAAGTCTGAAGGAGAATATATTCTGAACAAAAAGTTTTGCGTTAGAATTTCCACACTGCAACTATCTGCTGTGTTTGTCCACTGGCACAATATGATGGAATAGTATGACGGCATAAAATAACGGTGAAAAAATAGCGGTGCAAAATGGCGGTGCAAGATGACGCGGCGCAAGATGGCGTCGCAAAGTAGGGCACAACATGGTGACGCAAGGCGGCAACGCATGGTAGGGACACAAGGCAGCGGCGCAAAAGGTACAAATTGCAACAAGCTTTATTACCTGATCAAGTAAATGAGTCATCCCTCGTTTATAGGCGGAAAGCGAGTCGTTTAGATACGTGGAGGATTCGTGAGACGCAGGTCTAATATCAGCGTGCTGAATAATTGACAGAACCAATAACAGTCTTCCTGAGAATGACAGTGCTGGACTCTGTTCTAGACGTAAAATGATATTCTGTCGAGAGAAACAACAAAAACCTGTGTTAGGACGATTTTGGAAGGCTACAATTCATATCCACAGCTGACAGAAAACTCCGAAAGAGTGACTGATTTTGTAGAACAGATGAAAAGAACCAACGCCAAGAATGAAAAAAAAAAAAAAAAAAAAAACGTACAATAGCTGTTTCCCGAGACAACATTTTCGCCAAAAAGACGAACGTGCTTTTCTCTAATATAAAGCGATCTGGGCAAAAAAAATTGGTTAACCAGCGAAACCATTACTTGGATTAGAAGTAGACACTAACATGTGTGAGTGAGAGAAAAAGATTTGAGTTTCCCGTTTTACCTCCAGTGTTTCCAGCAAGTCTGTTGCCATTTTTCCTTGCTGTAAATTCTGTACCACACTCAAAAGAGAAAACTCCGCCATCAGCCCTATGTATCCAAATGCTTCAGCCTCGTCTAGACCTGCAATGGAGCTCGACATGTTAAAAGACCTTTACGTTGGCTAAATGAATCAAATTTGTACAAGTTTACGGGGAAGTCTTAGTTTTGAGCCCGTGAAACGTTGCTCGTTCCAATCCTCATTTTGCTATGTAGGTAAATATGTGCATTAGACAGTTTCATTATGTTGGGTCGCCAAAGAGGTGGATCGGCCTTGATAAAGTTGATACAGTTCTCATTCATGCGACAACCTGGTTACCATAAGGCTACTCATATTGAAGAAAAGGCATCAGTTTCTAAAAAGAGCTTTTTGCGTCGGCGGGCAAGTGGAACACTTGGCTGTTTTTCAACTTGAAGTTGATAAAGGTAATTTAGCCTCAGTAGCGAGTTTGTGGAGTTAAACTTTGAAGAGTTAGCCCGTCGTCGACTTCTTAAACTGCCTACGGCAGTTAATTTACCTTTATCAAATTCAAGTTAATGAGTAGCTAAGTGCTTATATCGGGTCTTGTTTGATCAAAGTTTCTCCGCAGTCACAACCCATTTAACCAGTAAACTAACTCCAAAATACCTTGTTGACAATGATGTGGACAAGATCCAATAGCACTTGTTACACTTCTCGTTGAGCCGCCAAGCTTGCCCATTCCACCGTCCTCTTCCGCGAGTCCACGAGCCAGAGCCAGCCTGCACGTAAGCCACAGTCTGGCGTCCAGTCTAGACCGCGCTTGGTTATGGAGGAAGTGTTCCCCACCCCACCCGGACACGGTGCTGTGCGCAGAACGGACTTGGCTTGACATGAGAGAATGAGCACTAATTAATTTAAAGTTCGTCTTTCTTGCAACCACTCTCAAACCGCAGTTGGTGTTTTTAGCCTCTTCAGTGTTTATCTACTCTACACAGCTACTGCTTTGGGGTTTTCTTTAATTTGAGGGTTATACAATACAAAGCAAACTTACCGTTTCTCCAAGTCCAGTTCATTCAAAATGGCTGCGTCTTCCAATGCTCTCAGCATGCATACACGATGTACCACTGGTGAGTACATGATGCCGCTGACTGGCTATTTCTGCAAGTTCCAATATAATCTCGAGAGACAGACCTTCTCCAAATCCACTGATGATAAACTTAGAGCTGGAAATATCAGGAAAAAAAAAACACAATTTGTTGTCTCTTTCTTAATTTTAAATTTAAACGTAATGATGGCGAATGATCGCTGAGTTTGCTGTATGAACGAGAAGAACTGGGCCAGGTGGCCGAACAGGAGGAGGATTGGATGGGGCGGCATCACCGTAAAACACCCTCAGCGTTGTCCCCCACTCTCTCGGACGCCCTTTTTACTTAGCCAATTCTCCTCTAGTTCGCTGTTATGATCTGACCCCTTAATCAGACGGAGTCACGTGCAAAACTCAAGTGTCACCGTCAGCATGATAGCTGTTATAAAGCAAGGTTACGTACTTTTTGTATTAAATTTATGCTCTTATGTACATTCACAAGGCAACAAAGTACGTAAATAAGTCACATAAATTTGTCAGAATTAACTCTGCAGTAGCCAACAAGAAACCCTACGGGGAAAAAAAAGCATAAAGTTTCAGCCATTAAACTCGATAGGATTTTGCTTCATCCTCTACAAGAGGATGTAGAGCAGGTGTATGGGCGAAGTCACGAACGAGGCAGAGGAACATAAGGACGGTTGTTTCAAATCGAAATGATCGTTTTTCGAAATTTGCATCTTTGCTTAATCGCGACAATNGGATTTAGGATTTTAGGTTTTTAAAGAATTAGGATTTTAATTTTAAAGTATTGTAAAGCGCCATGGACAATTAGTGGAAAATGGCGCTATATAAATGTATATTTATTTATTTATTTTATTCATAATGAATGCAAATCTCGCGCAAAGGAAGTGTTCTCATCTCGCCTCTCCTTTATTGATGTAGCGCTCAGATTTCAACAGCTTCGTAGACTGTAGACCAGGTTAAAAGTAATAACATAAACGCTACAAAATTTGCTCAGGAGTTTTTAGTTTTCTGTCTTACGTATTTGCGGCACCACAGTTGTAAGACGCGTAGTTTTATTCTGAGAATCCTTAAAAAAAATCATTTGCTTTGCCAGCATCATTCTGGGGCGTTCTTGTTTACACCAAATTCTTGTCTCACCCTCACGATCGACCCTCAATCGAGCACTAGCGCTCGTCCTTTGGATACTGGCCGAGTTATGACTGGGACCAGTAAGGTATGATACTAAGAAAAGAGATGAGCGTTTTCAACAGCGTAAGGTGTGGTGTAGTGGTTAAGGGGATTCGCTTGAGAGCGGGAGGTACGAGGTTCGAGTCCAGGTGGGGAAAATAATAATAAAAAAAGAGAAAAAAAGAAAGTAACGGGAATGGTGCGGTAAAAATGGGGTTGGTGCTTGGACAACAGGTCCACTGAAGTCCCTCGTAGTCATATTTTATTTACTTCACCATCCCTCCGTTGACTTTCAACAGTTCACACTGTTTTCTCCGAAGTACTCCCCGTTTACTTCCATGGACTCACCCGTTGACTTTGAGTTCCCTCCGGGACTCCCCACGTTGTATTCCAAGGGCTTCCCCCCGTTGACTGAGAGATGAAATCTTGTGTTTATTTGTGTTTATTTGGGTTCAGTAATTAGGACCGTATCTTCTACTGATACTCCTGGGTTCAAACCATTTACTTTGTTACATGTACTTGCAAATATGTCAGCCAAAATGGCCATTAGAGGACAAATGCAAACAGAGTATTCTTGGATTTCAATTTAATCCAGGCTTTCAACCACTATTTCACTCAATGTGGCAGGGCGTCTTATAAATAACTGTTTTAATACAGTTTTTGAGACCACTGAGGTTAATTTCACTTGCCCAACTCATATTTGCCCAAGAAGAAAGTTTGCTTGCACCCGGCAATCAGACCTACATGGAAGTGTTTTCTTCCCAAACTAGTTTGCATGAACCTTGCCTTTTCTCCACTTCTGTGTTTGAAAGGAGCTGGTTTGAACACCAAAACAGAAGAGCTGCGGTAAAGAAGAAGAGGAGGAGGCAGATCTAAAGGTGTATCATCACTGCTAGCGTCTGTCTGTCTGTTCCAACTGGACACCTTTCTTTACTGCTGTTGGCATTTAACAATCAACTTTTGGCTTTCCTGCAATTATCAGAAACAAAGTAACATTGTGGCGGTGACATAAGCATAATAATGTGTAAAGTGATATCAAGATTGCGTGACACGTGTGTACATAAAAATAGACACAGTAGGAATTGGCAACGTTACGTAAGAATGCGTGACATACACGTAAAAGAAAGAATGAGTGATGTAAAAATGTGAAATTCTCATTATGTGTGAGATGAAGAAAAGAATGTGAGATCAAAAAGCACTAGCATGTAAGGCAAAACAAGTAATATGTAACAGTAATTATGCAATAATAATAACCCCGAACAAAGCCCAAAAGAAAGAGCCAGTGATGCGAAACAACTTGTGACACTACAGCACGACCCTGTGCTGTATAACGTTGCAACACAATAATACGTGAATGATGTAGAAGTAAGAATGCCTGACATAACAGCAGGAGCGTGTTAAAAAAGCAAGAATGCTTGATACAAAAAGCAAGAATGTGTGACACAAAAGCGTGACTACGAGATTCAAAATCGAGAATCAGGAGGGCGTGACCGTTCAGTGTAGCTGAACAGGAATATAAGAGATATTCTTGAGAAATTTCATATCTGTAGAAGCTGTGTTTGTCGTTCAGTTCCCAAGTGACCCCTTGACGTGACAGCCTGTCCTGCCATGTGCATCAGCAGAAGAGCCTTGGACAGGGGATTCCTGTTGCACTCAGACTGCAATTTATTTTCTACTTGACTAAACTGCAGGGAGCTGGTACTGGTAGCCTTTAACTTCTCCTGTCAGATGATAAAAAAACGTCAATTAAATTACTTATCATGTTAAGCAGGGACCGATCAATCTGGTCAGCAAAATACAAGTATCAATGCATTAATTTTAGTAAGCTACTGTAGAAGATTGTACAGCCACTGTTTGGAAGGCCCCTCTTCAAAGTACGATTTTCCAACAGTCCGTTTTCATTTAAGAAAACCCTGTTATTTGGAAATACAATGTTTACTTTAAGTCTTAAGATGAACATGAACTCTCACCTTCAGTTTCTAAGCTGGCTTCTTCGGTTCTTGGGGCTCTGTCGTTAGCAATAAAAATTAAAGTTGTCAAAATACAAGTACTTTTTGCTAATAGGACCATGCCGTATCTATTGAAGACCTGTTCAGGCCTTCAGGAATTGTTTGATGCTAATTCCACTTTTATAGGGTTTCCTTTCATCATTTAAATACCCCCAACATTTGTATGTAGGGGTCCACTTCCAAGCCCTACCCTCTTAAACCTGACATAATAATTTCAAAGAGATCTCGCCTGTCATACCTTGCCCTAAGTTGGCTAACTTTACAGCAATTCCGTGCCTCACAAAAAGCAACTCCATGTGCAAAGCTTCTATCATCCTCCCCAACAAGTTGGGCTCCTCAGGCTCTGTGACTTTATCTTCAATCTTGAGTTTACTTACAGTTGAAGAAGGCTAATGGAAAGGGAAAAAACAAACAAAGAGTTGGCACTTGGGGTGCAGCGAGGTTACTAACACTGCGCTGTATTGGCAGAATTGTCCGCATGAAGTCAATGTTTCATGCAGTGCTTCACACGGGTTTTACGGTAGAATTCTCCCTGAGTTGCGATCCTTTTGTTCTAAGTAAGTCTGTCAAGGAATCACTGAAGCGACAAGCTCATTATTTCTCCATCTTGCAAGACTCGTTTCTCAACTTGATTCTCGATACTCGATGCTCGATCCGCGATACTCAATTCTCGCGAGAATCGAGTCTCAAGTCTCGATCCTTGACTGAACTGTGTGTCCCAATAAAAGCTGTTGGCATATCAAGTGCGCTAGCCATTAAGATGTATTTACTCTCTAGAATGTCCTTACCTTAATCCAGCTGATATCAGCAATGTTCCTCTTGCTTATATCAATCACTGTATCACGTGCCCCGGTAATATCTCGTAATATAAGTCATTTTAAAGGAAAAAAATAACCACTAGAGAGCGCCATTTAATTTGCATTTTCACTACAAGAGTTGTGAGATCATTATTTATCACTTCGGTATTTAATATTTATTTTCTGAGAAAACCAGGCAGGAGGTCAAAGATGGGGGTCAGCCAAATTATTCCATACTAACATCATAGGTAGGTTAGGTGGACTAAGGGATAAATATACTTAAGTTTGCTCTTCAAGTGTTTTGGTACAGAAGATACCAGATGCACTCTCTATCACTCACCTAGGTCCTAGTTTTTCTGGCAAATTTGACTCAAATTTGACAACGGGCACAAACTGTAAAATTTAGTGAACGAAGTTCCTGTTTTGTACAAATGGACATAAAACTTCTTGAGAGGTGCGAAATAATCATAAATCAGTCTACACCTTTAAGCTTTTGAATGCCTATATTTCGAATTAAATTTGTGAAGTAGCAAGAAATTGGCCATTTTCAACCTCCCGCAGAACACTGCACAACTATAACTTTAGCAATAATCGGATGCCAAAACCAAACACTCTTACCTTCACTCTATCACAAACAGCAATATTCTTTTTGGGCTATTCAAACTGCAGGATGCTACATGCCTCCATTTCCCGTATCACCCATTGTCATACACAGCACGAGACGATACAATAGTCTGCAATCAATGTGCTTTTTAAGCCGCTTCTGGATTCCGCATTGGGTTTGTTCCGAAGTTAAATAAATACAGTAGATCAAATTAGTTCCAAACAAAATTCAAATCCATTCTCTTGCCAATCTAACGGAAAGAAAATTAAGAAAAAACGGAAATAACCAGAGCGATGCCATATTGAATTTGATGACCCACAAGGGGCTGGGAGCTACCTATTTTCACGTCGGGTGGTCGGGTAGGGAGAGAACTTTCGCCGACGCACTATTTCCTATGGAGTAGTGATACCTTTTGTGTTTTTAAATTCATCTTTAAATCCATTACTGTACTTGTGGAAGATGAGGGAAGCACATGTAAGGCAAGCAGTGAAGAACACGAACAAGCACTAGTGATGGTTTTTCTGAAGTTTATTTTCTGAAGTTTCTTTTAGATTAACCCTCTGGCAGTGAATCAACAATTACACCATGTTAACATAAAATTATCTCTTTTATTCTTACACTTGCACGCTTTGCTTCATTCTGTTGTTACAATTGATCACAATTAGCATTTTTGACATTATAATTAAATTCAGCTTTCATCGTTTTGTACTTGTATCAACTGAGGATGACAGAAGTTTCTGTCGAAACATGTTTCATAAACTCTGCCGTTTTGTAAAAGAAGTAATGATATTTTACAGTTTATTCACAACTAGCTGGCTCCGTTTTTGTTTCTCCTTACGATAAGGTAGCCTGTGTTGTAGACGGAAATTCCCCTATAATTAAGATCTAGATATGAATGATTCTAATTTGATTTTGATTGTACTTGATCGTAACGTTGACTTAAGATTCTGATCTCGTGGTTTGATGTTTTACTAGATGATAAATGTCTCCGGTAGCTGTGAGCGGTGGTAAACCTTCTCTTAAAAGAGAAATCAATCATAGCCGTAACTGTAATTCATACTGAGAGTCCGACCTCGGATAGCATTTACAAAACGAAGTTCATGATCCAATGTTCTCAAAACAACCCAGCTAAAATTGATTTGTTTACACCGTGACTGAACACTGTTTACACTATATACATTTACTTTTTTAAACTAGGGAGCAGTTTTAAGAGCGCTCGCTTCCGACCAAACGCGGCCCGGGATCGATTCCGACCCTGCGATACATGTGGGTTGAGTTTGTTGTTGGCTCTCGCCTTGCTCCAAGGGTTTTTTTCTGGGTACTTTGGTTTTCCTCCGTCATGAAAAACCAGCATTTTCGAACTCCAGTTCAGTCAGGATAGAGGACCCGCATGTGAAACCCAGCTAGAGCTGATGTGTCTTCCTCTCGAAATATTACAATATATTTTATTCATTGTTCTATTTACATAAAGTATGATATTCATCTAAAGGGAATTTCCTGGCAAATTATTACTTTCTAGCAATCAGATTAGACAACTGTACCGGTGTTGTTATCTCCTGTATGAAGCATTAACTAAGAGATTGTTAGAAATGTCTTCGTGACAAGCTGTTGACTCCAAAATTATACAGAGGGTGACAAACTAAAGGAAAATTTTACACTTCTACCAACAAGCTGAGAGAAGAGCACGAAGAAAATGGCGAACTTAGCTAAAGATTTTGGATGAATGACTGAATATCCAGTTCTTGAAAAAATAGCAACATATACTTTCAATATTGCCCAGGAATTAGTCCTACATTACAACATTACAGTGCTTTTCATCAAAGCGTACTGGCCAGCAGTATCAAAAGAATATAATCAGCGTAATAAACCGCAAATAATTTAGTTTTTAAATGAAATCAGAAAAGTTAAATTGGCACGAGAATACTGCTAGAGAGGTGTAGTTGTAGTTGTTGTTGTTGTTGTTGTTTTTAAGATCAANTATATAGCGTATTTAATTCTTAAGATTTTAACTTTTAGGATTTAGGATTTTAGGTTTTTAAAGAATTAGGATTTTAATTTTAAAGTATTGTAAAGCGCCATGGACAATTAGTGGAAAATGGCGCTATATAAATGTATATTTATTTATTTATTTTATTCATAATGAATGCAAATCTCGCGCAAAGGAAGTGTTCTCATCTCGCCTCTCCTTTATTGATGTAGCGCTCAGATTTCAACAGCTTCGTAGACTGTAGACCAGGTTAAAAGTAATAACATAAACGCTACAAAATTTGCTCAGGAGTTTTTAGTTTTCTGTCTTACGTATTTGCGGCACCACAGTTGTAAGACGCGTAGTTTTATTCTGAGAATCCTTAAAAAAAATCATTTGCTTTGCCAGCATCATTCTGGGGCGTTCTTGTTTACACCAAATTCTTGTCTCACCCTCACGATCGACCCTCAATCGAGCACTAGCGCTCGTCCTTTGGATACTGGCCGAGTTATGACTGGGACCAGTAAGGTATGATACTAAGAAAAGAGATGAGCGTTTTCAACAGCGTAAGGTGTGGTGTAGTGGTTAAGGGGATTCGCTTGAGAGCGGGAGGTACGAGGTTCGAGTCCAGGTGGGGAAAATAATAATAAAAAAAGAGAAAAAAAGAAAGTAACGGGAATGGTGCGGTAAAAATGGGGTTGGTGCTTGGACAACAGGTCCACTGAAGTCCCTCGTAGTCATATTTTATTTACTTCACCATCCCTCCGTTGACTTTCAACAGTTCACACTGTTTTCTCCGAAGTACTCCCCGTTTACTTCCATGGACTCACCCGTTGACTTTGAGTTCCCTCCGGGACTCCCCACGTTGTATTCCAAGGGCTTCCCCCCGTTGACTGAGAGATGAAATCTTGTGTTTATTTGTGTTTATTTGGGTTCAGTAATTAGGACCGTATCTTCTACTGATACTCCTGGGTTCAAACCATTTACTTTGTTACATGTACTTGCAAATATGTCAGCCAAAATGGCCATTAGAGGACAAATGCAAACAGAGTATTCTTGGATTTCAATTTAATCCAGGCTTTCAACCACTATTTCACTCAATGTGGCAGGGCGTCTTATAAATAACTGTTTTAATACAGTTTTTGAGACCACTGAGGTTAATTTCACTTGCCCAACTCATATTTGCCCAAGAAGAAAGTTTGCTTGCACCCGGCAATCAGACCTACATGGAAGTGTTTTCTTCCCAAACTAGTTTGCATGAACCTTGCCTTTTCTCCACTTCTGTGTTTGAAAGGAGCTGGTTTGAACACCAAAACAGAAGAGCTGCGGTAAAGAAGAAGAGGAGGAGGCAGATCTAAAGGTGTATCATCACTGCTAGCGTCTGTCTGTCTGTTCCAACTGGACACCTTTCTTTACTGCTGTTGGCATTTAACAATCAACTTTTGGCTTTCCTGCAATTATCAGAAACAAAGTAACATTGTGGCGGTGACATAAGCATAATAATGTGTAAAGTGATATCAAGATTGCGTGACACGTGTGTACATAAAAATAGACACAGTAGGAATTGGCAACGTTACGTAAGAATGCGTGACATACACGTAAAAGAAAGAATGAGTGATGTAAAAATGTGAAATTCTCATTATGTGTGAGATGAAGAAAAGAATGTGAGATCAAAAAGCACTAGCATGTAAGGCAAAACAAGTAATATGTAACAGTAATTATGCAATAATAATAACCCCGAACAAAGCCCAAAAGAAAGAGCCAGTGATGCGAAACAACTTGTGACACTACAGCACGACCCTGTGCTGTATAACGTTGCAACACAATAATACGTGAATGATGTAGAAGTAAGAATGCCTGACATAACAGCAGGAGCGTGTTAAAAAAGCAAGAATGCTTGATACAAAAAGCAAGAATGTGTGACACAAAAGCGTGACTACGAGATTCAAAATCGAGAATCAGGAGGGCGTGACCGTTCAGTGTAGCTGAACAGGAATATAAGAGATATTCTTGAG